GGGCAGTGATGCGGGGTGGGCAGCAGGAGCCAGTGGGGGATGGGGCCAAGCTTACAGAGTGGGAGGGAAGGGGTCAGCGGGGGTCCCCACATAACCTCCTTCCCCTCCTCCAGCCACCCCTACTTACTGGCATGGATTCCGGGTCCAGCTCCCTACAGCCTGCACTGCTGCTTGCCTTGCACGGGCAGGCGGTGCGCTTCAGTAGTGGGGCCAGGGCCAGTCACACAGATGCTCTGGCTGGCTCTGTGGAGGACCTGAGCCTTCGTTGCCACAGGCCACGGGCCCTGCTTTATTCGCCCAGGGTATTTTTTGACCCCTGGATATCCAGGGATCTCGTTTTGCCCCCGTGTTGCAAATCTGCAGCGTGGGGAATGTTTTTTTGGTCTTGCACGTGCCTCTTGCAGGGTCTGAAAGGGCTTTGAGATGCTGCAAGAAGCATGTGCGTTCTCGTCTGGACACGCCCAACAGGGCATCGTGCTGGTACCCCAAAAGGGCAGCAGTATTCCCATGTAAGTAGCCACAGGGTGCTGGTGGCAGAAGGCACCCCAGGAAGCAGTTCCCTTGTCTCTCATCCCAGCCCTCCTGGGCAGCACCTTGATTGCTGCAACGGGAGTTGGGAAAGCCCCGCACCCCAGGGAATACCAGTGGTGGGGGTAGACCTGTCCCAGGCACTCGAGGTGTCCATGGCTCCAGGGTTTGGTGGCCATTGCCCCATTACTTGGGGGAAGGTTGATAAGCTCTTTCGGTAGTGATGAAAGAGCCCACAGGTTATTGGGACATCGGAAGCATGGGGGTCCCTGTGCAGCCATTGCTGTGTGAAATCTGCCTTGAGAAACTGGCCCTGAAACAGCAAAGGGATCTTATCTGCCACTGAGGTGCCAAACCTGTGCAGCCCAGCAAGGGGAGGCGATGGCTGGGCCAGGATGGGGCAACAGGGGCTTCAGCACAGTTAAACATGACAGCAAAACCCTTCACGGCAGACTCTTGGTCCTGATAGAGTCCCTCACTCCTGACACATGGCTGCATTCAAGCGCAGCTCACAGCTCTTCCCACAAGTTCTCCCAGTTTCTCTAACTCCCGACCCACAGCACCCTTCTGGGATGAAGCAGCTGGGGATGCTGAGAGCCAGGGAAGGCCCTGACAGGAACAAAGCCAGGTCCATCTGGCCTCGTGTCCTGCCTCTGTTGGTGCACAGGCCCAGCCTCTGAATCAGTCTCTCTCTCCAGGGTCTCCTTCTGGAGTGGGCTGTTTCCTGCAGGGAGGATATAACAGTTTCCAGGGCTTGGGGTCTGGGAGACCCATGACTGGGGGCCTGGAATTATCCTACCCCAGGCTCTCCTGACCCATGGTGCCCTGGAGTCGGTGGGGAAGATGCCCACGTAAGACAATTTTATAGTATCATAGTAAAGCAGGGCTGGGACAGATCTCAGGAGGTCACATTTAGTCCAGCCCCCTGCCCAAGGCATCCCTGACAAACATTCTAATCTGCTCCTAAAAACATCCAGAGTTGAAGATTGCAGCACCTCTCTGAGCAGCTTGTTCCACTGCTTAACCACCACGCTCAAAGAGAGACAGTTCTTCCAACTCTCCAGCCTAATTTTCACTTGCTGCAAGTTAAGACCACTGCTCCTTGTCTTGTCCCCTGTGGCCACAGAAAACAGTCTGTCTCCACCTTCCATATAATCACCCTTCAGGTGTCTGAAGACTATTATGAAATCTCACTTCAGCCTTCTCTTCTCCACCCTAAATAATCCCAATTCTTTCAGTCTGTATTCATAAATCATGTTTCCCAGATATCTAATCATTTTTGTGGATCTCACCATGGCTCTCCAGTCATCAGTAGGCCATGTCCGCAGCTGCTCTGGCCCAAATGCCTTGCTCTGGACTGGAAGAAAAGCTGTAACCACACCCCCATCTGCACAGTCCCCTTGGGCAGGGTCCCACATGTGCCAAAGTAGGCCAGGGGTTAGAGATACCAGCTCCACTCTCCCAGTATGCCTTCCAGCATGGGCGACTGGTGCCACCTTAGTCAGGGGGGGCATGTGCTCCCCCAGTGACCAGTCAGTGAACCAGGAGCAGGGGGGCCTAGCGGCCAGTCTCACCAACTGGGGAGTGGTCCCCCCATTGCCGATCATGCTGACCAGGAAGCGGCTGCGGCGCCACATCCGACACTCCCACTCCCCGGGCAGCAGTCGCAGGGAGGGCACTGGTACTCCCACCTGTCCCCCCTGTCCGTCACCTAAGCTGTGAGTGCGGCCTGTCAGGGGGTGCACCAGTGCTCTTATGGGTGCTCACCAGGTTCTGGGGGAACGTCTGTTCATCAGGGATGACAAGGTCGAACAGTCAGAAACTCCTCCATGACCGTTTCAGGCTGGACATAAGGAAGAACTTCTTTACTGAAGCCCCCAAGGTTTAGAATAGCCTGCCGCCAGAGGTGGTTCAAGCACCTACATTGAACGCCTCCAAGAGACATTTGGATGTTTATCTTGCTGAGATCCTATGATCCCTGCTGACTGCCTGCCCCTGGGGCAGGGGGCTGGACTCGATGATCTTCCGAGGTCCCTTCCAGCCCTAATGTCTATGAATCTATCAGGACCAGAGCAGAAACTGGAGCACTGGGGCTCTGTGCTTTGGGTGACCCATCCCTGTCAGAAGACAGGCTGCTGCATTCTCTTCCAGCTGCAGCTTCTGAATAGTCATCGCACGCAACTCCACCCAGGGTTCATTATAGTAGTGTAGCCTTTAGGCTGTGAAGCCATGGATGATGGTGGCCAGAACCAAAAAAAAAAAGGTCCCCGCCTCTTCATCACATGAAGTGGGTTAAAAGTTCTCCAGGCCATGCTACCACCTGAAGATCCAAGTGCAGCAGAGGATCCAGGAAAACCCAAGGCTGTGAATTTGAGTTACAAGGGGAGACTGAACATGAATAAACTGGCCCTGAAACAGCAAAGGGATCTTATCTGCCACTGAGGTGCCAAACTTGTGCAGCCCAGCAAGGGGAGGCGATGGCTGGGCCAGGATGGGGCAACAGGGGCTTCAGCACAGTTAAACATGACAGCAAAACCCCTCACGGCAGACTCTTGGTCCTGATAGAGTCCCTCACTCCTGACACATGGCTGCATTCAAGCGCAGCTCACAGCTCTTCAGGGGATGAAAGAGCCCACGGGTTATTGGGACATCTGAAGCATGGGGGTCCCTGTGCAGCTGTTGCTGTGTGAAATCTGCCTTGAGAAACTGGCTCTGAAACAGCAAAAGGATCTTACCTGCCACTGAGGTGCCAAACCTGTGCAGCCCAGCAAGGGGAGGCGATGGCTGGGTCAGGATGGGGCAACAGGGGCTTCAGCACAGTTAAACATAACAGCAAAACCCCTCACGGCAGACTCTTCGTCCTGATAGTGTCCCTCACTCCTGACACATGGCTGTAACCACACCCCCTTCTGCACAGTCCCCCTTGTCCAGGTCCCACATGTGCCAAAGTAGACCAGGGGTTAGAGATACCAGCTCCACTCTCCCAGTATGCCTTCCAGCATGGCCGACTGGTGCCACCTTAGTCAGGGGGGGCACATGCTCCCCCAGCGACCAGTCAGTGAACCAGGGGCAGGGGGGCCCAGCGGCCAGTCTCACCAACTTGGGGGTGGTGCCCCCCCTGCCGGTGGTCCCCCCATTGCCGATCATGCTGACCAGGAAGCGGCTGCGGCGCCACATCCGACACTCCCACTCCCCGGGCAGCAGTTGCAGGGAGGGCACTGGTACTCCCACCTGTCCCCCCTGTCCGTCACCTAAGCGGTGAGTGCGGCCTGTCAGGGGGTGCACCAGCGCTCTCAGGGGGTACACGTGCACCCCTGTGTAATCCCTATGCATCGCCACGGCCTTCCAGGAGCTCCCAGCTGCCCTTGCCCTAGATTCTTGCTGAAGGACTCCTACTGCTGCCCTGAAAGCTGGGCCAAGCCAGGTGACACTTTCCCTTTGACCCCTGGGACCCACACAGCCCTTCATGACCCAATGCTCCCTTTACAGTCCTTCTGATGCCCATCACTCCCAGCCTGCAGCTCCCTGCCAGCTCAGCCCTCCCAGTGCCACTCAGTCCAAGACCCTAATCTTGACTTCCTCCCACAGATCTGACAGTACCCTCACTAGACATGCAGCCACCTGCCAGCTGCGGCCTGAGCTTCCCTACAGCTCTGCCAGTGCCCACCAGTTCTGCCCCATGCCCCCTTCTATCTCTGCTTCTAGGGTTGAGGCGGGGGCAGTACCCAACCCCCAAAATGGTGCATGTGAAAGCATCTTCCTGTGATGGGAGCACTGTGGGGCAGCTGAGTGGTTGGAGCCTTGTGGGGGCGGGGGGAATATTGCAAGCCATCCCAGCTTCCTCCTCCAGCCCCATATAAGGGGCAGGGCAGGCTACAGCCACCCACCAGAGGCTGCAGAGGATCTGGATTCTCAGCACGGCCAGGCAGGTGAAAGATGGGGGCTCCCTAGGGCCTCCTGCATCTTGTGTGGGGAGGGGATGACTTGCAACAGCCAGCGCCGGATGCACCAGGGAACAGAGCCTCCCAGGCCATGGGCCGTGGGGGCTGCCCGGTCTGCCCTGCGTCTTCCCCTAACACCCTGTGGCAGGGGGTCGGAGAGGCCAAGGGCGCATCTCCTCTGTGCATGTGCAGTGGGTGCCCAGGTCACCCTTGTGCTCATGTTATAGAGTAGGTGAATGGTGACCTCCATGGCCACAGCCCAGCCATGGCCTGGGTCTCCTGCCCATCCCTCACTCGTCCCCTCTGGGTGGGGGCCCCGGGGAAAGGACCCTTCTGCGGGGGTTGGGGAGGGAGCCAATTGTTGGAGCAGTCATGGGCACTGATCCATGCAGAGACCTCTGCCGGCTGCCATCAGCAAGAGCAGGTTTGGTCTGTCCAGGTGGGGTAGCTGGAGGGCTCAGTCCAGAGGAGCTGGGGGTTTGGATAGCTGGGGGTGTAGGCCTCAGAGCTGACTCTGCCTCTTATCCCCAGCCTCTCTCCCCTAGGTCTGACTGAAATGGAGCTGCTCTTGGTCCTGGTGTTTGCCCTGGTGGGCGCTGCCTCAGCTGGAAGGCTTTGTAAGTCCCTTTCTCCTCCGTTCTCTTGCCACATGCTTCCCCCACCCCAGGGAAAACCCCTTATTCCCTTTTCCTCAGCCCTAACTGAATCCTGTTAACCCCATGTGCAGCCCCTGCAGGGACCCAGTGGATTTAGGCACAGGCGCCAGCATGGGAAACGCTGGGTTCCACTCCCCCAAGCCAGCGTTCCCCTCTAACCCCAGCCCATTTCCCTGCCAGACACCAGTGTCCCTGATCCTCACAGCCGCAACCCTGCTTCACGCCAGGCACTGAGGTCCTCCTACCCTCAGAGCCCCATCCCTGCATCTCCCACACCCTGGGGTCCCCTGGCCCCCACAGCCCCAGCCAAAGGCAGGTCTAGGATTTTGAAAAGGGGGTGCTGCAGGAGTGGCTGTAAAGCCTCAGCTCCCAGCATCCACCCCTACCTTGATCTGCACCAGAGCTGCATCCAGCTGCAGCTGTTCTATCAGACGCTGCGTGGTGCTCAGGCTGGAGTTGGGAGACAAGTGGGTGGCTCCATTTACCTGCAGCCTGGGATGTCTGGGTCCCTGCAGAGTTCGGGCAGCAGGAACTGAGCTCAGACCATAGAGATGGATGGTGGCAAAGTGTGACTGAAGCCTCTGAGCCAGGCACATGAGAGGGCCAGGCAGGGAGGAGGCCAAGTAAGGGGGTATGCATCTACGTCCTCTGCTGCTCCCAGTTCTGGGCCAGCTGAAGACACTGGTGACAGCAGGTAGGCCCCCACCACTTCCTGTGCCTGCTCCCTGCCTGGAGCCTTCTGGGTGTGACCTCCTGGCCCATTGCTCCTACATGAGAGCCAGGCATCTGGGTCCATGTGGAACTGGAGCAGCTGCCATATCTTCCAGATATCTCATTGTGCTACACAGTGGAGGAGGGGGTGCGAGCGCACCGCTGCGCTGTCCCTGGATCTGTTTGGGTCCCAGCTCTGCTCCGTCACAGACAGTGGGGTACCTTGGCCCCTACACTCCAGTCCTGTTCCATCTTAGACACCAGAGTCATAACCTGCCTTACACCCCCACCCACACCTCCACTGACACATAATATGAGCCCCTGCTGACTCTGGCCCATATGCTGAGACCCTAATAATAGCTTGAAGCTTGGGGAAGGGAGAGATGTCTGAGATCTGAAAAAATGTGAGTCAATCTAATGATGTCAGGGTCGGGCTGGTGACAGGCTGGACTCCTTACCCTCCCCCCTCAATTCCCATGGGTATTTGGACATGGACAATCTGAATCCCTGGCTGGAGCACTAGACACTGACGGGAATGGTAGAAAGTGCCCCTGTGCTCCTCAGTGGGTCTCCCCACTGGAGAGTGGGGAGACCCACTGAGAAGCACAGGGACATAGATATGGACAGGGAGGGAAGGTGCCTATCCCTCACCCACTGCTGCTGTGCCCCCACCCCACTCAGAGCGGTTCTGGAGCCCTCTCTCCTCCCCTGCCCTGGTTCGCTTGGGGCCTGGGGCACCGCATGGTGCTAGAAGGGCCAATGATGTATCTTCTTGCCCAGCTGCGGTCCAGGAGCTAGAGGTGCCAGCTAAGCAGGACAGCTCTATTTCTGGGGAGGAAACAGCACTGGAGACCGGGGACTTGGACCCGCAATGCCCCCTGGAGTCTGAGAGCTTCACGGTGACGATGGCAGGGGAAGGGGGCAAGACATGTCGGTACCAAATAGTGAATAGGTGCCTGACCTTCCTGCAAGCCCAGGTGAGAAGGCTGGCAGATGGCACTTCAGGCTGCTGCGAGGGCCAGGGGCTGGTGGGTCGAGCATGTGGGAGGCAGATGGTACCTGTGGCAGGTCAGTGGTGGGTGCTGGATGGAGGTGGAAGATGCAGAGTGCTGGGTGTGAGCATGGGACTGGGGTGTGAACATGGGAACAGGGGGTTGTGCACAAGGGTGGTGGGTGTGAGCCTCAGGGCAGGGGAGGGTCTGGGAGGCTAGTGGATAGTGCATACAGATGGGAAGAGGAGTGTGGAAGCAGTAAAAGGGGAACGCAGGGTACTTGTGGGAGCAGTAAGTGAGGATGTGTGGTTGGACAGTGTGACTAACCGTTGGGGCATTGTGTGGGATGTTGGAAATTGCTGGGTGTGAGCGTGGGAGCTAGGGGGAATTGCAGGTGATTGAGAGGTGGGAGGTTTTTCTGCGGGGTGGCGGGTGTGACCATGCACTTGGCAGGTGTCATATGAAGGCACTGGTGGTTTGGTGACTCCTGGTGCCAGCACAGGACCTCAGTTTCTGCTGTCTCTCTCCTCACAGCATGTATGTGCACACTGCTACAGGGGCTGCCTGGTCTCCGTCCACAATGCCATGATGAACAACTACCTGCTCGGTTTGGCCCGTACCTATACCAACAGTGGCCAGGTCTGGATTGGAGGCCTGTGCGCCGTCTCGGTAAGCCCCCATAGCTCCATGCCCATTGGTTTGGGGCTGTAGCCAGAGCCACCCAAGCTGGTGCCAGATCTGGCCCTGAGGGATTCAGGGCATGCTAGCATGGGTGGACAGAAGATGACTGAATCAATACAGTCCCAGTCAGAGCAAGCCCATGCCCAGGTCTGCACCAGGTCTGGAGGCTGGGAGTGCAGTGTCACCTTAGGGCCCCTGTGTGTAGCCAGCCCAAACATAGGCTGTGAGATGACTGGGTACATGCTGTGCAAGAGACTGGTGCCATTATTACCACATGGACCCTGCTATGGATTGTCCTCCACCCAGCTTCAGGGTTTCCAGAGCCCCTGCCCTGCCTCATGCAGGGTTGGGTTAGATCAGGGGTCGGCAACACTTTTGGGTAGGGTGCCAGAAACAGCCACAACCTTGATTTGTTAGATGTTGGCGTGCCATGGGTGGGTGACAGGAGAGCCACAAGGGGCCCAATCCTTGTTGTGGTTAACACAGCCCCAGCTCCTTCCCTGCCATCAGCTCCGAGGCACATGTGTGAAGGAAAATGCTTTTGCACACCACGCTCTGGCACCCACGCTGGAGTTGCGTACCGCTGGGTTAGATCAAGGCCTAGGCAGTAGTGGCAGGGTAGTTGGGGGGGGGGTGGGGCCCGCCATGGTACAGGTATGCCAATATAGCTCAGTGTTGGTGTTCTACAGAATGGACGTGTCGTCAGCTGGTGGATGGACAGGAGCACCTGGAACTACTCCCACTGGGCCTGCGGGAACCCCACCCATCGCTGCAGGAGCTGCACATCCCTCTGTAGAAACAGTGAGGAGCACAGGGACGGGGAGATAGGGGGCCTGGGGCAGGGGACCAGGACTTCTGATACTGAAGACAGGGGCAGGGGCAGCTGGGGCACTGTGGGGCAGTGGAGTTTTGGGTTAAGCGGATGTGGGGCCTTGGGGAACAGGGGTATTTGGGGCAGGACAATCTGGAGTACAGTGGGGTCTGGGTCATTGGGATCTGGGGCTCTACAGGGAAGAGGGGCCTGAACCAGCTGGACCTGGGGCTCTGTTGGGCTCTGTTGGGCACCAGGGCCTGGGGCAAGGGGTCCAGGGTTGCTCAGGCCTGGGAGACCAGGTGATGCCAGGACGGCACTAACCTATCTTCCCTTCTTGCCAGATGGTCAGTGGAGAGCTCTTGACTGTAATACTCACTTGCCCTTCATCTGCGAGATCTGAGGAAACATGCTTGGCCCTGCGGCTCCCCATCCCCGCCGCTCCACCACCAGGCACTCCCAGCTCTGCGTGGTGTCTCTGCTCTCTGCACTCATCTCTCCCTCTGCAGTGGGTTCTGGGTTCTGGCTGTGTCCCATCTCCTAGGTAGGGGCTGCCCCCACGTATGGTAACTGCTTGCTGTTCTCTGCAATAAAATACTGCTTCACTCAGCAGCTCGAGCCTCATGTTGTTCCTTCTTGCTCTGGGATGGGCACAGTAACACTGAGGGCTCCTCATGCATGATGGGGCCTGGGTGGGTATTTTTGGGGAGATTGGTTCCCACAGGATCTGTGCCTGGTCGGAAGGGACTGGAGACAGTCTATCTCATCCCAGCACTCTGAGTCCAGGCAGGGAGCCCCTCCAGGGTCCAGGAGATTTTTGCTCCATGGTTGTGGGATGGAGCCATTCCATGGGGGTCAGTGGGCCTAGTCCACCCGAGGCCCCTGTTCCTTGTGTGTGGTGGGGTTTGCATGACTGTTCTCCATTTAACACCCTACCTGTCAGCAGGGCATGTGGGATCCTCGCTCCCTGCCCCAAGG